GACAGACGCTCTACTTCAGGCTACTTCACCTTCGTGGGAGGTAATCTAGTCACTTGGCGGAGTAAAAAATAAAATGTGGTTGTGTAATCTAGTCACCCGTCCTGTTTTTTATTTGGAGTGACAAAGTTCGAAGTCACAACAAATTAGTGACCAACCTAATGTTACCCTAAATCTCTAGAAATAGAAAAAGAAAATCATAGTTATATATGATTTTACTTGGAACGAGATAATCGGAGGGTCCAAGTGGTGCAACAGTCAAACCCTGGAACCTTAAAAAAACAGTTAGGATCCGAAACCTCTCCACCGTTTTACATTCTCCTCTGACAGGAGTGGGTGAGCTCAAATCAAGGTGGACCCACACAGTTAAACTCCCAGCAGACACATGAACAGGTACAGTGACATAGATACACCCAAAGAACTAAAATTGGTCCTCCACAATTTTGTTACCAGTTATATTTTGGCCTTTGAATTTGAAGTCTGTAAACTGCAGGTGCCAGCTTTCAAATTGAGAGCAGATATCAAATTATGGGGAGGATGGAGTATTTGGCTCTGAAGAGTAGTGATCCAGACACCAATGAGTTGATAAATTCAGACATCAATGATCTCAAGATTGCAGCCAAGAAACTCATCAAAGATGCCACTAAGCTTGGTGGGTTGGGTTTTGGGACTTCTTTTCTCAAATGGGTTGCCTCCTTTGCTGCCATGTGAGTCATCTTATTTGTTTCCTTGAGGACCAAGTTGCTTTAAGCTTTGTTTTATTGGCTGGAATTGGGAAAAGTCAAAAAAGTGATTTTTTTTAAATCTTCCTCTTGATGAATATAATATTTCATTCCCTCAGTCTGGGAAAAAGAAAACAATGTATCACAGTTTCCTTCCTGCATATGTTTATTTTAGTTATTGTTTTCTTTAAGATTTTGGCCTTCCTATTAATTGAAACATCCATTGTTAGTCTGTAACTTCTTGTTTTTGGTCCACCAATATGTCAGAACTTGACCTGTTATGTTTCACACCTAAATTTTTCTTCCCCTCTGAGAAACACTTATGTGAAACGGGGATAACACTATTTTGCTATCTCCGGTCAATCACAGCATGCCAAGCGTGATAACTTTTCCACGTGACAATATGTTTCATACAAGTTTTTCTGCTTCCAGTAACCCATTTCATCCTGTCTTTAGTTGTGACTTAAATCCCATATAATCTAAAGTTTTTATATGGTCAATAGTCTAGAAAGCCATTGATTGACATGAACAAGTAAGCCATGAATTGATTTACTTTTTGTTTTTGGGTATGAAATAAGTTCAAATAGATTAGCTTGTGGCCAAGTAGGGCTCAACAGATCAAAAATATGTGCCCCAACCCTTACTGTTTTACTTGGATGCACCAACACATAATTTTGTCCATTCTGATGTCTATTTCCATTGATGTAAGCCTATAACTCAGACTTTTGCTTGGATATCCATTCTGATATCAATGAGTTTCTGGTTCCATGGGCTACTTCATTGGATAGGGTATAAGCTTAAAATGAAATTCTCTACCAAGTTCAGCCCTTTAATGGTGTTTTACTTCATTTCCAGCATGTGGCTGTGATGGATATGAGCAACAATGAAGAATGATAACAACTGTTTTGGACTGTCGTGCATTTTGGTGGAGTTATTTTCACTCAGACTGAGTTTAATTGTTGCTGTTTAGAATTTATTTGTTTTCTCCAAATAATTAGCCCCTGATTCAAACCATACGATCAAGGGGCTTCAATTGTTGACAACTAATTACTAAACACTGTCTTTGATGTCCTATCACTTGCCTAAATTGATTCAATCATCAGTTAGCAATTCCATCTGTATAATATAATATGCCCTGCATATTTGCCTCGATTGCTTCTTCCCATTGGCTGTTACCTGCTGCAAGAGCACATAAACTTCCAGGTTAGATTTTGTTCACTAGTACAAAATTTGTCTGAGAAAGTATTTTCAATGCTGCAGATATCTGTTGATATTGGATCGAACAAACTGGAGAACAAATATGCTGACTTCACTTTTAATCCCTTACATTTTCTTCAGTCTTCCTTCAGTGCTCTTCAACCTCCTAAGGTGATAATTTCTCTTATTGGTGCACATTTTCTTGTTTGCTTTTCACATCCTTCTTTTGTTCTCAATAATCTCAACTCATTGACATTGCTTCAATATAATGCAGAGGAGAGGTTGGAAAATGGATTGCTTTTATTGCTGTTGTACTGAGGCTTTTCTTCCCAAGACACTTCCCAGGTATAGGCTCAAGTCACTGCACTGATTTTTCTCTATCCTTCTCAGTTCTACATAATTATGTTGCTTTGTCCCAAATATATTAGTCTTCACAACCTCAACTTTATCAAAAAATTTATAAGCATTATGGTTTTTCTATTAGTCTTCAGATCATAGCCTTGTTCTATGATCCTATTTTGATTGCAGATTGGCTAGAGATGCCCGGTTCGTTGATCCTTCTTCTGGTTGTGGCTCCGAACTTTTTTGCGCACACCTTGAAGGACAGCTGGGTTGGTGTCTTGATATGTCTTCTCATTGGTTGTTACCTGCTGCAAGAGCACATCCGGGCATCAGGTGGATTCAGAAATTCACTCACACAAAGCCATGGAATATCAAACACTCTAGGCATTATCCTTCTCTTAGTCTACCCTGTTTGGGCATTGATTCTCCATTTCATCTGAGCATTGTAGTAAACAACAGTTTCTACCAATTGTTCATGTACTGCAACTTGCAAACATCACATCTCCATCTTCTCTTTATAAGAATTTGATTTCAGTGGCAATTCTATCTGTTGATCAAAATTTGGTTTCTGCTTCTACTCCCATAAATTTAAATATGCAAGACTGAAATATATGCAGTCCAGAAAAAAGGTCTGAAATATAGAACAGAACATTATCTCTCTGTGGACTGAGTCACTGAGTCTTCATTTAGTGAATCAGGAACATTCAAAGTAAAATATTTTTGGACATTGAAGAATACCAAAATCTCTCAATTGTCAGCTGTTTCCGTCTTCTCCCAATGAACACCCTTTTGGACATTGCATCATGAAACATATTCCATCCAATTGATTAATGAAACTGTCATCGATAATTTTGTTAGTACCATCCATACCATTGTTTTGGTCTCACGCTTAGCCCACATACTCGTATAATGTAACACAAGTTATAGGGAATCCAAATACAAACCCATGGACGTAGTCATAAACTCCTTCCAACGGAATTTGGTGAATCACATAAACCTGGTGTTCTTGTGTGATATTACAGTTTTATCATCGATCATCTCTCAGACTCAATTGTTTGTTTGTTTTTTTTTTTTGTCTGGAATTCATGTTGTATTCAAGAAACCCCAAAACAGGGAATAGAGATACAAACAGAAGGCTAAAGCCACAAGGAGCCAACAGAAAGCAAGAAACAAATAACAAAACAGGGCTAGACATGGCTAGATTCCATCGGAGCCTAGAACAAACAGTCCCTACCCTGCAAACTAGCTACTAAGAGATAATAAAACTAAACAGCAGCTGCCTCATGAGGTGGACAAGGCAAACCATCAGAAGTTAGAACCCCAACGAGAGACAATGGTGGTCTGTCGACCCAACTTTGCAGTTCCATAGCTCTGTTACCTATCGACGCCGCTGCATGAGCTGCACGATTTGCACTCCTAGGCACCCAAGACCAGGTCACCTCTTCGAAGCTCGAAACCACATCATGGATTTCGTCAATAAGAGGAAGGATAGCCCAGGAGTTGTTACCATGAATACCATTAATGCAGTCTATTAACACCTTGCAATCTGCCTCCATGATGACTCTCAGATAACCCTTGTTTCTGGCAAGGTGTAAAGCACATAGAGCAGCAGCCGCTTCTGCACTAAGGGATGAGACACATAAAAGTGGGGAAGCAAGACCTCCACACCATTCACCAGAGGAATTACGAGACACAATGCCAATGCTGCCCTTCATCGTGCCAGGATACCAAGAACCATCCAAGTTGAATTTTACATAATTTGGGATTGGCTTGGACCAACGGGTTCTTTGGACATGAGGGACAGGAGAAAGGTTCCCTCTTGCATCAATCTTGGAGACAACCGCTAAGTATTCAGAGCAAGCATCTCTAGCATGGTTGATCACGCGCCTCGGATTAGGGCGAGACCCATTGAAAATGTATTTGCACCTTGCTTTCCAGATTTCCCAGCATAAGAAGCTAAGTAGCGATAATAGAAATTTGCATTCAGTTCTTGAGGTGCCAGGAATCGCAATAATGCCTTCAATCCATCTATCAAAAGTCGAGATCCTCCGGGGGTCAACTTTGTAGGAAAGGTCAGAGCCAAACCAAACAAGTTGAGTCCACGGGCAAAGAAAGAGAATGTGCTCCACCGATTCTTCGAAACATTCGCAAATTGGGCAGGTGGGATCAATTGCAATTTTTCTTTTAAAAAGGGCAAGTCTGGTTGAGATGGATCCAGAGAGAGCATGTTTTGCAATAGAATGCATGTTTTGTCCTTTGGGAGTTTGTCCAAAGTATCAGCAAGAGGAAAATAGGCGAAACGTCTATAAAAATAAATAAAAATTTGAGCACGCAATTTTTGTCTTGATTCATGTTAAAGGTGTCTCTTTAAAAAATCTAAATATTTGGGAACATGGAGAACTTCTTCAAGTTTTTATTGGGGTATAATAAGGAACACCCTCATGACCTCATTAAATACAAGGCCTTATGTTAAGATACACTTCGAATACATGCAATTTTGTATTTTCTTCACATGGATGTACACTATTTTGAATTATGAAATCTGAAAATTTAACCTTATGATTAGAAAAGTTTAGGGACATACAAGACCAAATCATGTGCATATAATTTTCAAGGTGTTAGGTTTTAGGATTCTTAGAATTGACTTTTCTTGCCAAATGTACACTTTCATGTAATTCTTCTTAGCTAATCTTTAAAAATTAGGCCTTTGTATTTGCTACAAAGTTGAAGTACATTGAAGAGCTTATGAGGCTACAAAACCAAAATAATTTGTACAGTCATTTGTAATGGGCATCATTAGGAAAATCAACTTTTGCATCAAAACACTTTGTTTAGATGACTAGTCATATATGTAGGTCAAATATTTCCAACACGGGATTTTTCATCAAGGCATGTGATAACTCATGCTAAAAGTTTCCCTTTCAATTATCTAAATATTTGGGAACATTTGAAAAAAAAAACAAAAAAACAAAAAACCTTCCTCATCAAGTTTCAATTGGGTAATGAGCAATGCCCTTATAACCTTGTTCCAAGGCCTTAAGGTAAACTTCAAATACATGCAATTTTGCGAAATATTTTCTTTGATTATTTCCCATGCATATACGCTATTTCCGAATTATGAACTATGAAAAGCAAATTATAATATGAAACTTTTTTATTAGAAAAGTTTAGGGACGGATAAGACCAAATCATGTGCATAATTTTCAAGGGGACAATTGTGCTATCATACTTTGTTTCACCACACGTTTTGGAAGAATGCTACCCTAGAACTGAGTTGTAGTCAAGCTTAAGCACGTTCAGATAGTTACTCATTTTGTTGACTTAAAAAAGAGTTGGGACTATGGGAGAAATTATAGAATGATACTGTATCACCGTCTTCCTGAGCGAATATACCCGTGCGGCTTTATTTTCTATTCAAATTATATATATATATTATGCCTTGAGAAGTTAATCCAAATTTAATCCAAAATTACCATTGATTTCCAAATTATATATATTAAGCCTTGAGAAGTTTCGAGAATTGAGATCGTCTCTCACCTTTGAACTTGGAGATTTTACTCTTCATCTTCTGCATGCACCCGTCGCAATGCAATCTAATCTTCATGACCACAGTGCTCTGAAACCACCCAACAAAAGAAAAGAATTAGCAACGAAAATACAACCAAATTAAGCTCGAAATACAATGTTTAAAATAGTAAATAAGTACCAATCAGCTAAAATGCATCGCAAATTATACATGAGGGTGAGGTTTACCTCTTTGGGCTTTTTCTCCTCAGCCGGCTTTTTCTCTTCTGTCTTCTTCTCAGCCTTTTCCTCTGCAGCAGCTGGCTTTTTATCTCCACCGCCATCTTTTTTGGGCTGAGGAGAAATGAGATCTACCTTCTTCTTGATCTTCTGTTCCAGTTTCTCTTTCAGCCCAGCGGGGTCCACAGTCATTTTGTTGGCTGCACACTCCGTCTTCACTTGTTCAACACCTAATTTAATTCACAAAAAGATCGACCCAATTAGCCAACAATTAATAGGAACCGTGTTTTGTACGTAAAGATTGTTTTAGCCCAACTAATCAAGCTTAAACTACACGACGGAAAATGCATGAACGCAATTAAAGTCAAAATTCTTAAGTGTTTGCTTGCTTCCGCTCCCAAAAGCCCAAAATCTAATCCAAATTTAATAGATTAGTAGATATTAATGGTCAATATAGACTTAGCTATCCCTTCCCAATTCCCATCCTTTAATTTTGGACCCTTTTTTGGGTCCCCAATTTTAAACGGTAAAAATCTCTGAGCCGGACCATTGAATGCGGATTTGATTCCGGTGAACTTTGTAAAATCCGAAAAACAAAACCCAATTGAAAAAATCGAAAATCGGAAAAACCCAGAAGCCCAGAATTCTCATGTGATTGAAATTTGATATGAAATTGGTGAAGCTGTACCTTGGAAATTCTTAACAGCTCATTTGATTTTCTTGGCGCACCCCTCGCAATGCATGTCGGTCTTCAAAACGACGGTGAGTGAGCCGTCGTCCTTCTTGGCGCCGGCGTCGGCTGCGGCGGGCTTCTTCTCGCCCTCATTCATTGCGTCTTCCTTTTTCTGCGACAACAAATAAACCGTCGTTAAAACAGAGAACTTGGCCGGAAATAATTATTAGCCACGAAGAAGAATGTACAAATTTTGGTTTTTACTCACCTCACCCATGGTGTTGGTGTGGGTATACAAGAAATGAATATGAAGAGCTTTTTCTTAAACACTTTGTCTAGATGACTAGTCATATATATAGGCCAAATATTTTCAACTCGGGATTTTTAATCAAGGGACATGATATATAACCCCACTATCTTCCCAAACTACCCTTAAACACATCCCAAACTAAAGAAATAAGAAATAAAAGAGATTTTCTATTTAAACCCCACAATTTTGTTTGTTTCCAGCAAAAGAAACACAAACAAATATAACCCTAAACTCGAAATTTAATACTTTATAGAGAAAGAGAATAGTTTTACCTCTCTTCAAGAACTGTAACTGGAATTCCAACACTTGGGTATTGTTGAGTTGATAATCAACAAGTATTTCCATCAACTCCCACGCATATTTAAAGAGGTAGGCTCGTTAATTTTCTACGTCTTTAAAAGAGAAGAGTAATATGACAATAGAATGTAGAGGAGTTTGTATTTTTCTAAAACTTAATATAAAGAGTAGTGGGGTGTGGGGTGTGTGTATAGATGTACTAGGGTTAATTATTAAGTTTGATGAATTTTTGCCTTTTTACACAATAATAAAACTTACAACTTAATGATTTAAGTATTTGGGTGAACAAAGAGAAGTGCGGAGTTTAAATAAAAAATCTCTATAACTAATGCTAAAGTATATAAATATTTGGGAGCATTTGAAAAAAAACTTCCTCATCAAGTTTCAATTGGGTAATGAGCAATACCCTTATGACCTCGTTCCAAGACATTTTGTGAAATATTTTCTTCGATTATGTCCCTTGCATATACGCTATTCCGAATTATGAAATATGAAAAGCAAATTATAATACAAAACTTTTTTATTATAAAAGTTTAGGGACAGACAAGACCAAATCATGTGCATAATTTTCAAAGGGGACAATTGTGCTATCATACTTCGTTTCACCACAAGTTCAGGAAGAATGCTACCCTAGAACTGAGTTGTAGTCAAGCTTAAGCACGTTCAGATAGTTACTTATTTTGTTGACTTAAAAAAGATAGTTACTTATTGGGCATACTATCCCTTGGTTGGAGATGCTCTAAGCCATTAAAACAAGTGGACCAGGCGAGAAATTTAAAACCCACACAAATGGACTCCAATTTTGGCATATACCAAGGTTTTTGATTAGGGATAGCAGCCTCTACTGAGGCACTAGCCAAGTCCTGTGTTACATAAAAAACGGACCCGCTCTGTAATCTTGCAAGTGTGGTTTGCTTCTGCACAAGAAAATGGAGAAGAGAGAAAAAGCTCACTGTCTGGTTTTGTTCTATCCAATCCAAGGCCACATTAATCCCATGCTCCAATTCTCCAAGCGTTTACAGCACAAAGGACTCAAAGTCACATTGGTCACTACCCGCTCTGTTCACAAGGCCATGCATGGAGATGGAGGAGGACAATCACCATCACCATTCTCTTCCATTGCATTGGAGACCATTTCTGATGGGTTTGATGGAGAAGGTGGGAGTTCCCAAGCAGAGAGCATCCAGGCCTACTGGGACCGTTTTCGGGAAATCGGCTCACAGACTTTGGCTGAGCTCATTGACAAGCTCTCTGCCTCAGGCCACCCTGCTGATTGTTTAGTTTATGATCCAATTTTGCCTTGGGCTCTTGATGTGGCCAAAAGGGTTGGGATTGCTGGGGCCGCTTTCTTCACTGTATCTTGTGCTGTTACCAACATATACTCTCTTGTCCATAATGGGCTGCTCAAACTTCCTCTCAATCTTGACTCTGAGATTTTGCTGCCTGGATTGCCACCTCTTCAACCTTCAGACACCCCATCCTTCATCTATGTTCCTGAATCTCACCCTGCTTTCTTTAAACTGGCTTTGGATCAGTTCTCTAATCTTGACAAAGCTGATTGGGTATTCTACAGCACATTTTATGAGCTCGAACAAGAGGTAATCAAAATTCATGGCATAAGTTTTATAGCCAGTGCATGCCCAAGGAGGGTACCCCTATGAAATGTTTTATTTTATTTTCATGTCTATATTTCTTTTGAGTTGCATATATTTTGTTACTATATGAATGAATTCAGTCTCCAAAATTTAATGACTTTGACCTTATACTTAAAAGTATAAATTTTTAAGATAACCATTTCCTTTTATGCATAGGCGGTGGATTGGATGGCAAAATTTTGGCCATTGAGGACGATTGGACCAACCATACCATCCATGTACCTGAATAAGGGTCATGAAGAAGACAAGGAATATGGTCTCAGCCTCCTAAAGCCAAACAGTGATGCCTGCATGAAATGGTTAAATGCAAAGCCAAAAGGGTCTGTAGCATATGTGTCGTTCGGCAGTGTGGCAAAACTCGGAGAAGAGAAAATGGAGGAACTTTGTTTGGGTTTGAGGAGAAGCAAACACTATTTCTTGTGGGTGGTGAGGGCATCAGAATCAGCTAAGCTGCCAAAAGGGTTTGCAGAGGAGACATCTGAAAAGGGTTTGGTGGTTTCATGGTGCCCTCAATTGGAAGTGTTGGCACATGAGGCTGTAGGATGCTTCGTCACACATTGTGGTTGGAACTCTACTTTGGAGGCCTTGAGTTTAGGAGTTCCAATGGTGGCAGTGCCACAGTGGGTTGACCAGAGCACCAATGCCAAGTTCATCATGGATGTGTGGAAAATAGGGCTTAAAGCTCAAGCTGATGAGAAAGGGATAGTGAGAGGAGAAGAAATTGCACATTGTGTGACAGAAATATTGGAGGGGGAGAGAGGGAAAGAGATTCGAAAGAACGTTTTGAAGTGGAAAGCATTGGCCAAGAGTGCAGTGGATGAAGGTGGAAGTTCTGATAAAAACATTGATGAGTTCATTGCAAAACTGGTTCAGTACTAGCTAGGCAAAGCTGCGGTGTATTTCTGAAAAAAAATTCCTTGTACAAGTCCTCTTGTGGAAAATGTTATTAGGGACTGATTAATAATTTCCATGACTAATAATTTTTAAAAGTCAGAAATTTGTGTCTTCACTATTAAAATAATTATACATAATAGTTTAAATTATACAAACAAAACACTTATTTATATACGCTGTCCCACATGATTTGGCTGCTAAAATATGAATATAATTTGAATACTTTAGATTAATTGTATTCTTCCTCATAATAAGGTATATATAGGAGTTTATAAATAGTACTTTACAAGTAAATAAATACAGGAATTAAATAGGAGAATATCCCCTAATTATACAAGGATTGTCAACTATATGAAAAAAGAAAATAAATCTCTTTGATTTGTTAGGTTAACTCAGTCAACATTGGCTTCTTCTCCTAGCCACTAGTTTACCGGATATTGTTTAGCCTTTAGTTTTCTTGAAACTCTTTGCCCATTTGTTCCCTTCCGGATCCTCTTCCTTCTTCCTTGCAGACACTCTACGCATAAAGAAGAACAAGCCAATAACAACAATTAATGCTGCAAAAGTTGCACCACCAACACCAGCTCCCACAATAACTACACTGTTAGACTTCTTTGCAGACCCCTGGCACTGCTTCAGAGGCCCCCCACAGAGTCCAGGATTGTTTGCGTAAGAGTCCGCTGTAATTGATGCATTATTACTAAAGGTTGGGACTTGGCCAGACAGCTGATTGTTGGCCACACTAAATGTTTTAATCCTAGTAAGCTGGCCAAGTTCTGGAGGAATGATACCCGAGAACTTGTTGTTGTCAAGCTTAAGCACATTCAGATAGCTGCAATTGGAAAGCTTCATTGGGATTTGCCCTGTGAAGCTGTTAGATGAGAGATCAAGGGACGTAATGAACGTAATGATTTTATCGATATCAGTAGGAAGAGGTCCATTGAGCTGATTGCTTGAAAGATCTAACCCTGTTAGGCTTGTGCAATTTTCTACGCCTCGAGGAAACGAGCCCTTCAGTCCCAAATCCGAAAGCTTGATGTTTAAAACTTTGCTCTCATGAGGGTGCCAACACTCGATTCCCAGAAAGTTACAGATGAAACCTTCAGTGTTGTTGTTGAAATCCCAGGAAGAGTTTAAGTAACCTAAAGTGTCCTGAAGTGATGCTTTTATACTTTTTAAGCAGTTGATATCACTCTCAACACCAAAGCTGAAACCACAACTAAGCAGCAACCAGCAGAGGACACTGCCAATAAAAATGCCAGCATCTTGTTTTCTCAACAACATACGCATCAAGAAAGCCATCAAAATGGGATAATGGGCTAAAAGAAAAGAAAAAAAAAGTGCTATTTAGTTCATGAAGCCAAAGATCAGAGCTAAAGATAGTAGTGAAGACCTGAAATTCTCTGGCTTTTTATATCCACTGGACATGAAAGAACCCTGATAAGGGTTTGAACAATCAACGACACAAATTAATGAAAAGGCTCCCACGCGGTCAGCACATGCATTAAAAATCAAGAGTGGTTTATACGTCCAATGGTATATCCTGGCTCTCTTTAGAAGGGTTTATGAAAGTGAGGGAAGGAGACGGGCTCATCGGGCTATTTGGAGGCCACTCCTTTCATCAAAAGCTTAGGGACGACTTGGACCGTTGACTATTGACTACCCAGAGTGCTTGTCTGCCCTCTATTTTATTTTATTATTAATTATTTTTTTGCCGGCCTTCATGAGATGACTCGGTCTCGTCTTAGAGCTTTACTTCTCAAACATGGAAAAAAAACTGGAGCAAATACTACTCAAACTACTGAAAAAATCGACAATCATAAAAGAAGAAGAAAAGGAAACCCAATTAATCATCTTGGCGTGTCAAGTGGTGGAGTCAAAAAATTTATTAAGGAGAGTTAATTGGCTCTTAGGAATTATGAGGTGTGTTTATGTGATGTTGTGTTAGGAAAAAGATACTATTAGAGCCAAGAGGGACTTTGTAGTGTACGTACTTGGTTAATTGTTATAGTCCAGAAATTTAAATAGTAAACAAAGAAAATGAAAAAAGGAGAAAGTGAGTAGGCCTGGGCACGGTTCGGGTCGGGTTGAATTTTGCATGACCTGTGGGCCGAATCGAGTGAGGCATCGGTTCTCGGATTGGATCAGGTCAAAACTCAAAGCCGAAAATGGGCCGACCCGATAGGCTCCGGTTTGGTTCGTGTTTTTTGGTCGGTTTTGGGCTTTAGCCCAAATTAGTTTTTTTAAAAGCCCAAATCACTTTCTGGCTAAAATCTTTTTTTTTTTGTGGTCAAATTACCAAAACCTAATCAGTATTAACATGCCCAAATCAATTTTTTCTACTCTTTCAAATTCTGAAATCATGCAAATTCAAGTATAATCCATAAAAAAAAATCCATCATTCAAATCTAAGTTTCTAAAGAACTATTAATCACAAATTTAAACAATCATCACAAAAAAATACACACAAATAATAAAACAAGAAATCCAAATTATAATGATTACAACCCATGACATAAAAATAACAAATATCCTTCCAAAAACCTTGACAAAAACCTGCATTCATCTGTCCAAAAATACACTTGTATCAGTCAACAATCAATCACCAAACATATAATTTCAATAAAAATAGAAATAAATTGTTTGCTTATCTTCAAAACCCTTCAAAGTTTAACAAACGAACATGTCAAAAATCATGAACTACTACTCCTGAATAAGAAACAGATAAAACAACAAAATTATATAACCTCATATTAGAGCTTCATAAAAGTAAACATAGTAAACAGATAAAACACAAAACTACATAAATAATAGACCTACCATGGAAGTCAAGTTTTTG